GTCTTGCGTAAGAGGGCCTTTTCGGTGGATTGGAAGAGCTGGAATTCGGTGAGGTCATACTTGTGTGCTGAGACCATGCGCGTGATTTGGGGTCCGGTGGCTCCATCGGGGACATCTGGGCGTGTTCCTGGATGGACTGGGTCGACCCATGGTGTTCCGGCTACTGCAGGCCTTGCATTGAACCTGTCTAGGGTGTAGCAGAGGCGTAAGTGTCCTTCGTTGCCATTGCCGCGGAGGCTATGGATCTGACGTGCATTGTCTTTGTTTTCTTTTTCTAGGCGTTTGATGCCTGTGCGGGTGGGGCGGCCAGTGATGCTGGTGAGTGTTGAGTGTATGAAGTCCTGAGTCGGATCATACTTGATGGTCGTCATGGTGGTAGTGTTGCGTGTGGCTGTTGGTGGTGGTTGATGTAGATCAGAGCTGGATTACCGGGCTTGGTCGGTAACCGGTGGTTGAGAATTGCTTTCTAACTATTGAAGTCAATAGCTCTAAGGGTTTAACTGGAGGTTAGAAACAATTATGAGCTATTGGCTTTGGTGGCTGTCCCCGTTGTCATTGGTAAATGACCGTTGGGGATCTGCCGGATCTACATCTATGTGACGGTCCCGCGAGCCGGCCAGTCAGGCTGGTTGGCTTGGTGGGACGTGCTTCTGGTGGATATAAGGGTCAATGTCGCAGTGGTATTGGGACTTTAACACAAAAGGCAAGCTAAAAAGGCCTTGCGTGGATTGGTGCCATTTTCCTGGCACCTCCCACGTCAGGAAAAGTTGTTATTAATAAGTCCTGAGCGGTGACCTAGTGTTCTCTAAGTGTTCGTTTTTAAATATGCTTATTTAACGACTAGTCTCCTTGTGACCATTGAGAGACTCAAAGCCTTAAAGCAATTGTACCAGATGCATCTTTCGCGCACACACAGTGAAACCAGCTTGTACAATACTCCAGTAACCATTTACTAATTTAAAAGTTTGAAAAGCAAAAATTCAAAACCCTTGGTATTCAAAGCATATCCGTGACGTGTTCACTCATGTACAGATGCATCCACATGCTGCTGCTGTACTATTGCTATTAACTTTCCCGTTTTACTTTTCTACAACTAGCTAGATATCAATGACTGTGTTACAAGTAGCTTTGACTAGTATGTACTAGGTCTAGGAAGATCAACGTGATGGAATCCATTGGAGGACATGATTCGGAATGGATTGCTCTAAGTGTTGGCAAAAGACTTCTAACCATGAGACCAATCATCAGACTTGATGCCACCCAATGAATCATTCCAATCAGCAACTGTAGACTGTAGGCTAATGAATCGCAGCGGCCTCCAAATGCTCTAAGTGTTGGCGACGGATTTCCAACACAGAGACCAACCCCTCACACTTGACTTCATCCCATGAATCATCCAGCGCTGATCAGAACAATCCCCAGCCAGGCAGGTTTGCGTTGGCCACTGCTACTGCCGTATGATGGAGCCTGGCAATAGAGATCAGTCATCTCTGGCATGTCCACAATATGAAGGGGCTCGCTGGGTCAAAGGAATGGTATGAAGATGGCTCAAGTATTGAATGGAGTTCCAATGCAGGGAACAATCACACAGCTAGCTCCAACCCAGCAAGTCAAGTCAAGTTTCTGTTGTAGGCTCATGGCTCCTGAAGTCAGACACAGGGAACGAGATTCATGTCGGTTTTCGACCCATGAGGTGACTTGGCCTTGACAAGCCAGCCCAATGCGATCACTCATCGCGCAGCTGAAACTCAGCTCGTGCAGTGAACAATCACAAAGAGAAGGCATGCCAAGGCCAAGCATGCTTGACTAGGAGAACACAGCACTGGTCCAAACCCAGTGGAGCTTGTAGACAGATGCCTTTGCTTGCTGACACGGCCTACTGCAAGTCAACTTCAATCACCAGCGGAAGTCTTCGGCTGAGGAGTGATTGACAATGCAGGAGAGATGCCAGCAAACAAGTGGCAACAAGAGGCACGGGCTTGACTTGACAAGAGCTGCTACCAGGTAACACATTCCAAGGAGAGAGAAAGAGAAATCGAGAAGGACTGCTGGAAGTATTGAGCTCCAACACAAACAGCAATCTCCGCACTTGACTCCAACAAGGAAAATGAACGATCATCCAATGCTCAAGCAACTGATCAGCAATCGCCAGCCAAAGCGAGAAAATGGTTTGTACAGAGAGACTAATATGGGAGGCAATGTCATTCTGTCTTCTTTCGGCATGGCCCATGAGATGGATCAGAGTGTGGCCGGACAAGGCAAAAGTGGAACACTTCAATCCAACAGGTCCTGTCAAAATGACCAAGCCTTGGTGGACACCGTATATGCGATCACTCATTGGACAGATGAAACTCAGCTTGTGCAATGAACAATAACAAAAACAATGCCTCCCCAGGCCCATCATGCTTGATCTTCCACCACTCCGATGCGCACTATCAGACTTCATTCAATGAATCACTGGAGACTGACTAACCCAAAAAGGGAGAATGGTTGGCCACCGCTACCGCCTCAGTCGCCGCCTCCAGACTCAACACAACAGAGGCAGGTGCAACTCAACCATGCCTGACCCCACTGCAATACCAGCTACAACTGTCAGCTGAAACTCCAACAAAGTAATAATCAGTCCAATCGCCATCTCCAAAGTGCTCCAGAGTGAAAGAAGTGGACTTGAAGAGACCGCTCAGAGTGTTGGCAATGATGATCCAAAACCGTGAACAGTATCCAAGTCCATCATCTTCAATCCAGGATGCACTTGGAGAAGGCAATTGTGGTGAGTGTTGTGACGCCATAATGCAGCCTCCAAATGACAACGAGAGTGAAGACATCGGTCCAGTGCGGGTAGAGGTCGTGCAGTCCATCTTCAATCTGAGGCATTGGATCATCGGAGGACCGATTGATCAGAGTATTGGCAATTGTTTTCCAACACAAAAAGCAATCGTCATACGTGAGCCAACTCCTCGGGTTCCAAGGACAACACAGCAGGCTGCTGGTTGAACGTTGTTTGCATCGACTTCAGATAGCCAACTTCACTCTCAAGTCAAGTTTCTGTTGTAGGCTCATGGCTCATGAAGTCAGAAAGAGTCATGCTACCAATGCTGTACCGCTCAGAGCATGGATGAACAGCAGTGTTTGCACCACCAACCCAGGGATCAGAAAGACCTCGAAGACCGCTCAGAGTGTTGGTGAACATATGCCAACACAGAGAGCAGTGTTTCGAGTCCATCTTCAATCCAGGAGGAGGAGGAGCAAAAAAGGAGGCAATGCCATTCAGTTGTAGGCTCGGGAATCGTAGCGGGACCAGAGAAAGGGACATGTTACAAATGGCTCCCAATGCTGGCAATGTACTTCCAACACTGAGAGCAAGTGATACCACTTCCACGTTCTGATGAGAGGCTCTGTCAATAGGAGAGACTCGTTCAGTCGATCTGCTTTGCGTCGTCGAACCAGAGAAGAAACTGATGACGCAGAGTGACGGCAGTGATGTTCCAGCACTAAAAGTGATCAAGTTTCCGCTGAAGTGGACAAAGGAAAAAGTAGAGACAGAAAGAATGATGCAGCCTCCAAAGGATCACGGGAGCGAAGAAGTATGCGAGCAACAGCTCAGAGCGTTGGCAAAGACGTGCCAACTCAGAGAGCAGTGTTTCGAGTCCATCTTCAATCCTTCAATCCAGGAGCCACAAAGGCCAATGCCATCTCTTAATTAAAACCGAAGGAAGTCCTGTCAAAGTGACTAAGCCTTGGAAGAGCATCATCAATTCGATCACTCATGGCGCAGCTGAAACTCAGCTTGTGCAGTGAACAATAGCAAAAACAATGCCTCCCAAGGCTCACAGCGTTGGTTACTTCCAACCCAGAGAGCCGCCTCAATCTCCTCAGACTCCGGGACTGAAAATGGTGATGGTACGACCGCTCAGAGTGTTGGCAATGATGTTCCAACCCAGGGAACGATCCGTGTCCATCTTCAATCCAGGAGGGGATAGAGCAGGAGGCAATGGCATTAGGTCTTCTTGACCACACCAGTCTCACTGGCACAAGCAACACTGTCTCGTCATCAAACACAAAGGCCAATGTCATCTCTTAAAACCGAACGAAGTCCTGTCAAAGTGACTAAGCCTTGGAAAAGCTTCGTCACTGCGATCACTCATGGCGCAGCTGAAGCTCAGCTTGTGCAGTGAACAATTGCAAAAACAACGCCTCCCAAGGCTCACAGCGTTGGATATAAGTTTGGACTCTGGGATGGAAAGCCTCCAAAGTCTCAGTCTCCTAGTCCTCATGGATCGACTGGATTGACAACCTGATGCTGACCGCTCAGCGGATGAGCCAACTCCTCAGGTTCCACGGACAACAGCAACCATGGGCATCAGCCTTGGGTCAGGGGCAAAGTGAATGAGTGTTGGCAGATGATTGCTCGACTGGGCCTTGCGAATCCAGTACTGGTGATCACTCATGGTGCAGCTGAAGCTCAGCTTGTGCAATGAACAATAACCAGAGAAGGCATCCGAAGGCCAAGCAAGCTAAAGGAAGAATCCGCAGGACAGGGAACAATCCGTGTCCATGTTCGCCAGATCCAATTAACAACAGCACTCAATGTGGGTGAAGCAAGGCACAACTCCAACACAGGGAGCGATATCCATGTCAATCTTCGATGGTCTTGACTTGACAGCTGAAGAAAGCAGCATCGAACCTTGAATACATCATCGGTGGAATGTCAACAATAACGAAAAGCAACAAGGCAGAACAAGGCAACCCACACGGTCAAGGTGGTTTTTTGATCGTACAGGCAACATGATCTTCATCACGCTGAGTTTTGTTACAGTGTGGCCTTCCAACACAAAACAGGGTCTTGATTCCAACTCGGACAAGCTCCAACAGCACTGGAGGTCAGTGTGTGCGTGCCAATTGAAACTAGAGCTCACAACCAAGCGGTTGTTTGAAGTCTGGGACCAATTGAAGCAATCTTGAAGCAATCTTGAAGCAACCTTGTGCAGCGGCAACCATGGCCAAGACTTGCTGGCAAGCATCGAAATGGCCGTCGGCACCGATACGGATGCCTCATCGCGTCATGGTGATAGAATGTGGGATAAGGTCTTGACTCGACTCGGCCTTCAGAAGCCTGCCCCTGCGATCACTCACGGCGCTCAGTTTGCGCAGTGAGCAATAACAAAGAACAAAGCTTCCGAAGGCCAAGCACTTGCCATGGTCGTCGAGAGCAGTCAAGTTCCTCCTCTTCTCCTGCCGTTGTGATTGGGCATGAGTGAGGCAACACAGAATGCCGCGTCGCAGCTTGGCGTCTTCTTGGTCACGGCACATCCCAATCCAATGCTGCCGAAAGAAGAAGAACCAAGTCTGTTTCAACAGGAACGCAGACACAAACACTGAAACAGGATCCAAACAAACAGCTCGACGGATCAAAGCGTTGGAAAATGCTGTTCCAACACTTGGCTCTGTCGGTTGCTCCTTGGATGCTGTTCAAAGTGCACGAAGACTCGACTCAACTCAACTGACTCGACTCAGCGGTGACAAAGACAAAAAGACATGCCAAACGACCGAATACCAGCCCTGGCTCTGCGGCGACCAAGAACAAGGGCTATTGGTGGTCGAGAGCGTTAGGCCGTACCTTGTCGGTTTGGTATCTACCGGTCGTCATTCTTGGGTTGTGTGGTCGACAATAACACGGGCTTTCGCGGCAATAGTCATTGTGGGCGGCGATACTGTACGAAAGATATGGAAGCAGCGGCAATCGCAAGAACCAACACCAGGGCCCAGCGGCAACAATGACCAAGTGTGTCATTGTTGTCGAGAGCTGTTGCATGTCTTGAGGTCGCTGCTCCATCGAGCGTGGTGTTGAATCGAATCCGCTGCACCATCGTGGTCCATTGTCCTTGAAACAACACCGATGCCCGACCCAGCGACAACAATGGCCAAAGTCTGCCACCATTGTCGAGAGTTCAGGTTCCGTCGCCGTTTCATCGACAATTGACCGTGCTCCGCCATGGTCCACCAAAAGAAGGCACAAGCCGACATGGGGCTTTTTCCAACGCAAAAGGCGATCCGTCCTTGCTGCAGTGCTTTCTTTCTTTGGAGAACGAACAATCGTCGTACCGTCGGATCATTGCCGCCATGGTCATTAATTGTCCAACGAACGAACGCACTTCGACTTAATAACGACGGGCCGTCGCGTTGCATCGCCATGGTGGGCTTTGAACGCGACGGCATATCGGGTAAGCGGAGGTGCTTCCGCTCGCTGAGAAATGAAAATTTAGGGAGACAAGAGTGATAGTCGGAGCGCCATGGTCAATTGATAATCCAACGAACGAAACGACACTTCGCACGACGGGCCGTCGTGTTGGCCATGGTGGCAACGCGACAGCCGATCTGAGAAGAGGTCCTTTCGTTTCGGGGAGAAATGAAATTGTTGGAGACAAGAGTGATAGTCGGAACGCCATTGTCAATTAATTATCCCACGAACGAATGCATTTCGACTTCCAAACGACGGGCCGTCGCGTTGGCCATGGTGGGAAGTCAACGCGACGGCACATCGGGGAGAGGAGGTGCTTTCGTTTCCTGAAGAAATGAAAATTGTGAGAGGAGAGACGATCGTCGAGACGAAGCCAACCAAAAGATTTTGGATCCTTTTTGTATCCTCCGCATTCGTAACGTGGAGTTTATAATGTTCAAAGCAAAGAAATAAGAGGGAAAGCTAGGGAGATTGTGGACTGCTCCGTGTGGGAATCACCGTCCCCGAGCAGTTTTGCCGCCCGAGAACCCTCTGGTAGCATTCACCAGGTACTTCCCTCGTTTAGAAGATGCTAACTAGAATGCTAAGTTCCAATACTGATCCTTCGCGCGTCTTGATGGATCGACTGAATGATCACTTCTCTTCATTCCTTTTCGAATTAGCTAGGACATGTATGACATACCAGTACATGTACGACCAATAGTTGTCCCTGAGAGCCGAAAGGCTTGTCATAGTTTTCCAGCATTTCAAATCAAACGACGCCGGTTCGAAATGTACCGGTACGCAACCGGCACAATACAAACTCCCGCTCCCCGTGTGTTTGGTTCCCCTTTAGGCTCACCCAATAATGTTTGGTTCCCTTTCTTGGCTTTCCACTTGACTCCTTACAATATCCGCTGCTCAGCCCTCCAAGTGGGAGTTCTTGCTTTTGCAGAGATTTTTGCTGTCTTCGTCAAGTTCTTTGTGGGATGGTTTACTCCCATGTTACATACGGTACGACTGTACAGAGTGAAACCCGTCCGATCTGATTGCAAAGACGGACAGCACCATGTTGTATCTCCATCATACGGTATTCCAATGCCCGTCCTTCAACCATTCACCCTCTCCCAAAGACCAAAGTCTCTCTCGCACTCTCTTTTGGCGACATCCACGGTTCCCTGGAAAGTGCTTTCCTGGATGCTTTCTTAATTGTAGGGAAAGGGCAACAAATCTTAAAAGCATTCCACGATCAAGGTCTGTCCACGGTTCAGGCAATTCGATTCGATCACTCGACTCATTCGGCTCAGACTCGATCGATTTCCTTTGGCCGTCGTTCTGTCGAAGACGGCGACTCAAAGCCAAGGCGAAATCTTCCCATTTTGCACCAGCCGTGCACAGCGGCAGACCTCACCACAACAAGTGTTGATCACCGGATCTTTTCTTTGGAACCATGAGCAGCAGTAGCGGTAACAGCCTGCCCGCTCAAGACGTGGTTGCCACCGCGGTTCCCATTCCTGCCGAGGACTCTCTTGGATTTTTGCGGGAGCATGTGCCAGAGGCAGTGAGTGAAAACAACAACAACACTGCCTCGACGAATTTTGCCATTGTCCAAGCGGTTCCAGTACCCGATGAAGACGAATCTAGTGTCGACATTCGACTTTTGCAAGAGCGTCGACTTTTGCAAGAAGAGTTGCTTCGACTACGGAATAGTGTCGCAGTGTTGCCCCCCTTGCTTCGCACCGTGACCACAAAGTTGAAGTCCTACGACGAACAGATCAATGCCATGGACAAAAAGATGATGGCAATGGGAAATCAAATCGCGTTTATTCGTGTTTGTGCCACTGCCTATATCGTTTGTGTCCACCTTGACACGCTCAACCAAGTCATTTTCAACTATGGCGATCTGGAGGTCACAGTGTGTATGGTCTTGGTTTCTCTCTCGTGTCTCGCGCTGGGCATCGGCTGGATGATCCAGCGTCTGGAGGAAAACTCGCAACTACGCAAAATGGTCCTCGAGTTGAAACCAGATTCCCAGAAACTACGGGAGGTCATGGCGGGTTGCCTCGTTCTTTGCTTCCTTTTCAATTGCTGCTACTGGTGGGCCAACAAGGAGGGAAAGTCGGATTGAGGGCTCTGGACCTTCTCTCGCAGCGCGACCATTTTGATAGACAAGTCGGGGCAGCCATTTCGAAATTCGCCAACAGCGTTCGACACAGCCACTGCGGAACACGGCAAAGGACAAGAGATGATTCGAATCGAATCATCCATACCGGGCACTCGCTCATGTTCGATTGGAAATAGACATCATACTGGCTCTACTAGACGTACCGTAGATGTGGTTAGACATTTCGTTGATTGTTTCAAAGTTGACTTCTATGAGTAGCTAATTTCCATGTCTTGATTTGGATGCGACAGATTGAATCATTCGATTCGTCATGAAGTCTAACAAGATTTGTTGGGTTCCGTTCGATCCAGAGAAGCAAGGAGTACCAGATACACCGCAGATCACAATGGAATGTACTGTCGCTGGGGCTGTCAAGCATACCGTACTCGTGCAAGCCAAATGCTCCCGAGATTCTCCATCTGGCTCGGCAGCCTTCTTCCTCCATGCATGATTTCAACTAAACTAAACTCAGCCCAAAGGTGGAGGGAAGATTGGAGTGCCAAGGGATTGCTGCTGCTCTTGTGTACAACCCATGCAGCGGAGACAACCGAAATGAAGTACGGGTACTCCGTACCGTGCGGAATACGTACTAGTACGGCTGTACCGGTACCATGACGGTGACATGTCGGCGGAAAAGCCGACTTGGAAGGAACAGCGGCGGCGTGGAAGCTGCGGAGGGACTGAACCGGGACTGCAGTTTGTGAACCTTATTTTCCACGGCGGTTGTAAGGCAAGAATTCCACAACGAGGCTGTGTTGCTACAGTAATCACAACAGTATGGTCATACCCTACTAGCTAGTACCTTTTGACAACATGGTTTGGAGCATTGCACGAAGACATCTCAGTGGAGCCACATGACAGCTGAGTCGGCATGTTCCCGACACAGACGATCGCAATAACGACAACATCCCAAAGTTAAACAGCGCTGATGTCATCTTGGTTGCGAGAAAACCTTCATTGGTTTCAACCCCAAGCCGGCAGAAGCACTAGAGCAATATGGAGTTGTAGACGTCACACATGTACGGCGAGGTTTATATGTTATTCATATTAGATAAATGGTTATTGCACGCTCGTTAGGATCGGGTTCGCTTCCGAAAATAATCACCAGGAACCCCACCACGCTATCTCGTGCACTCTTGACTGAAATACATTGAGTCTTGAATATGTTGCAAAAGCCCTGTTGCATCCACCATGAGCATCGGGTGCACCCAACATGGGCTCTCTCGTTTGACGGGTCATCCATCACTAAGGCTATCAGATTACAGCATTAAGCACTATCTTTTTTGCTCCTTTTTGCTGCAGGCTTCCGGTCATCTTCCTTTTCATTGGCAACATCTTGAACCTTGTCGAAGTCTCTCTTCAAGTTTGTCCTTACAGGTCGAAGAACTGGTGGTCTCTTGTGTGCAACTCGAGGCTGGGTGTCCAAGTCTTCACTTCCACTGATTCCGCCATTGCCCAACAGACTGGCTGGACTCACGGGTCCGGTTTGGATATTGTTCAAATCAAGTTGAGTTCTAGCACCAGCTCCCATATCAAAATCGGGAATGGGGATGTTGTTGATTTCTTCCTGAAGCTTCGCCTTGTGGTCCGCGAAAGGGATCCATTTACCCTTTCCGAGAGTGTCTGCTCCAAAGCAGTTATTGAATCGTTCCTTGATCATCGAGACTGTCCAGCGGCCTCCCGTCACAGCACTAGCATGGCAGAATTCTTCCAGACAATGGGGTGTCGAAATGATCTTGTTCCACACCACGTAAATGACATCCTTGTTTGTCAGAACAAGATCTCGGGAGTAACGTTTGGTTCCATCAGTCCATCGCACGACCACTACAAAAAAGAACAGAACAGAAAAAATGTCAGAGAACGACAAGATTCGTCGTAGCAATCCACAATCAAACACGTACTCGAGTCATTGCTTGACCAGCCAGACCAGCTTGGGGGAAATGGGAATCCACCGTATGCAGTGAAATTTGGCCCTTTGTTGTAAGAAGAGACGATCTTCAACCAAGTTAGGTTTCCGAATTCCTTCAACAACCTGTCAAAGAACTGCGATTCCATTCCTCCATCCTTTTCGAGGATTTTGTCGATGGAACGATGCTTTTTCAGGTATTCCCACAACAACTGACAGCCGTCATTGAAAGAACCATTGTCTCTGGCCACCACTTCTTCATCAGTTTCTACATCCACTGGAGCTACGTGCTGTTCAACAAGGGCAGCCCACCGTTCATCATGGCGACGCTCCCAGTCCTCCATTCGTCCTGCAGTTCGCATCATGTTTTATCCGGTATCTCAACTATGAGGTGGTCCGCGAAGCTGCCACTGTATCTTCAAGTTTTGCGATTCATAGCATTGGTTTTCGACACTCGGCAGTCTCACCTTTTTCATGCAATTGAATAATCGTTTGCAGTCAGATCGGAACTTCACTGTCTTAACATAAGTTGCCAACAAAATTTTCTTTGTTTTCGTACATTAGCATCCAATGAAAAGAAATGTTTCGTCGCATCTCCTAGTGGAGTGGCCTCAAGTCGAACAACTCCATCATACCAATATGAGTGCACTACGCTAAAAGCTAGTGTAAAGATCTTTCGAGTGTTTTGAGTTTGAGAGAATGAAAGTTA